GATCAGACATTTCCTATCCACGACAAGAGTACGATTTTAGTTCAAAACAATAATGAAAATAAAAGTTAGTTTTTAGTTCTAATATAATGTTAAAGTTTAACCATGATAATATACTGACAAAGTAATCTTGTTGACAAACAAGTATCTAAATAAAGTACTCTATATATTATCACTTGATATGTTTTACAATAAGTGATATATGTTCAATTTATAGGTCTTTGGATATGACCTCTCAACTACATGTATTTAATGCAACTACTACCTTTCAACTACATATATTCAATACAACCACTATCTCTCAACTACATACATTCAATATAACTACTACCTCTCAACTACTACCTCTATAACAACTACCTTTCAACCACATGCATTTAAGGTTTACCTAACAAAATCCCCCCATAAACTTAAATGTTTTTCTTGTCCTTCATTCCAAGCATCTTCTTGCTGTTCTCGAACAGAGTGGTTGGCAATGACTTCGTGAACATATCTGCAGCTTGTGCTCGGGTTCCGACGTGCTCTAGTTCCACATTTCCTTCTTTCACTTGTTCTCAGACGAAGTGAAACCGAACATCAATATGTTTGCTTCTCTCATGATTGACCGGGTTCTTTGCCAATTCAATGGCCGACTTGTTATCAACTTGAATCACAGTCCCTTTTTCTTGCTTCAACTCCAGCTTGCTTAGAAGGTTTCTAAGCCAAACTGCATGACAAACGCTCCAGGATGTTGCAACGTACTCGACTTCACAAGTTGACAACGTTACAATGAGCTGCTTTTTTGAAAGTCAGGTGAATGCTGTGTTTCTCATGAAGAATACATATCCAGACGTGCTTTTCCGGTCATCAACATCTCCACATCAGTCACTATCCGAGTAGCCTACTAGTCGGTAATCATCCGTCTTAGTATACATTAGGCCAAGTGACGTTGTTCCTCTCACATACCTTAGAATTCTCTTTAGTGCCTTCCAATGAGTATACCTTGGCTCCTCCATATACCGACTTGTTATTCCAACACTTAGCATTAAATCCGGTCTAGTATTTGTAAGATACCTAAGACTTCCAATCAGACTTCGGTATTTGCTCGCATCAACTCGGTCTCCATTTGCATACTTAGAAAGTTTTGTACTAGGTTCCATAGGGGTGGAAACCGGGTTACAACTTGTCTTCTTAAACTTCTTCAAGACCTTCTCAACATACCTTTCCTGTGACACAAAGATGTCATCCTTTCCCTAAACAACTTCTAAGCCAAGAAAATACTTCATAAGACCCAAGTCAGTCATCTCAAACTCCTTCTTCATCACTTCTTTAAACTCTTCAATCAACTCGGCATTATTCCCCATGAAGATAAGGTCATCAACATATAGGGCAACAAACATCACATCTTCTCCTTTCTTCTTTATGTATAAAGCATGTTCATAAGGACACTGCTCATATCCATTCCTTTTGAAGTAAGTGTCAATTCTTTCATTCCATGCTCGTGGGGCTTGTTTCAAGTCATAAAGTGCCTTCTTCAATCTCAACACTTTCTTCTCTTCTCCTATTCGCATGTATCCGAGTGGTTGTTCAACATATACTTCCTCCTCTAAGATTCCATTCAGAAATGTCAACTTCACGTCCATCTGCAAGATTGTCCATCTATGTTGAGCTGCTAAGGAAATCAGCAGCCTAATTGTTTCCATTCTCGTCATTGGGGCGAATACTTCGTCATAGTCTATTCCTTCTTTCTGCTTGTACCCCTTCACTACGAGTCGAGCTTTATATCGCTCAACTTCTCCTTCAGAATTTGTCTTCTTCTTGTACACCCACTTTACGCTGATAGGCCGCGCTCCTTTGGGCAAATCAGTCAGCTCCCATGTGTTGTTGCGTTCTATTGCCCCGATCTCCTCGTCCATTGCATTTTTCCACATTTTCTCTTGCACGGCCTCTTCAAAACTTAAGTCTTCTGAATCTGCTAAGAGACATACAACATGCACTTCGTCAGTGGAGTTGTATATATCTTGTAAACTTCGCATTCTGGGCTGTAGAGGTTCATCTTCTTCATCAGAAGTCTCATGATCTCTCACAGTATGTGGTGTATCAACTTCCGAGCTTCTACTTCCTATAGACTCCTTCTCCTGGTTGTTCCAACTCCACTCGCTTTCTTCATCAATTTGAACATCTCGGCTCATGATGACCTTCTTAGTTATTGGGTTAAACAACCTGTACGCCTTAGTTTTTTCATCATACCCAATAAACACATATTTTTTGCTTCTATCTTCGAGCTTGGTCCTCTGTTGAGCTGGAACATGACCATAAGTTATGCTACCGAACACTTTAAGGTGAGACACACTCGGTTTTCTTCCACTCCAGACTTCTTGCGGTGTCTTCTCATTTAGCTTAGCATGTGGACATCTATTTTGCACATAGATGGCACATTGCACTGCTTCTTCCCAGAACTCCTTTGGCACGTTTTTGCTTCTCAACATTGTTCGAACCATGTCAAGAATGGTTCGATTCTTCCTCTCGACAACTCCGTTTTGTTGGGGTGAGTATGGTGCTGTCAGAAATCTCCTTATCTCTTGCTCCTCGCAATACTTCATGAGTTCGGATGAAATGAACTCGCCTCCTCGATCAGACCTAACAGATTTGATAGGCATGCCAGTCTCTTTCTCAACCATTGCTTTAAATCTCTTGAACACCTCAAACACATCGGATTTCTCCTTCAAAAAATATACCCAGGTTTTTCTTGAAAAATCATCTATAAAAGAAATGAAATACCTTTTCCCACTGAAGGACTCAGGGGTAACCGGTCCACAAAGATCTGTGTGAATCAATCCGAGTTGTTCCTTTGCACGGTACTCGGTCATCCTCGAAAATGAGGTCCTCGGATGCTTCCCGAGCACATACTCTTCACAAAATTTCTTTTCAAATTCCATAGACGGGAGTCCTCGCACCATCTCTTTCTTTACCAACTCGGTCAGCCCGCCAAAATGCAAGTGGCCAAACCGAAAGTGCCACATCATTGCTTCATCCTTCACGTCAAGTTTCAAGCACCTCTCTTGGACTATCTTCAAGTCCAACTTGTACATTTTGTTCTTCTTCATTTCTACTCGGGCAATCAAACGATCCGACTTGTCCTTCAGGTATAGTACTCGGTCTTGCATCAGAACCGAGTAGCCTTTCTCCATCAGCTGACCCATGCTCAATATGTTGCTTTTGAGATCGGGTACATAGTACACATCTCTGATTTCTCCAACTCGGCTATTCTTCTGTAGGTACCAGATTGTACCTCTGCCTTATACCGCCACCTTTGATGCATCTCCAAATGATACGTGTCCGGCCTCAACTTTAGTGAGCTTCTTGAAAAAGTTCTTGTCCCCACACATGTGGTTACTTGCTCCTGTATCAAGATACCAAACCGAGTTGTCAGAACAGCTCGGACTTAGCTCGACATCTGAACTTCTCGACATCATCAATACTCCTTCTTCCTCAGTGTCCTCAGAGAGGAGGTTTGTCTCCTTTTTCTTCTCAGATCGGCAGTCCTTTGCGAAATGTCCAACCTTCCCACAATTATAACATTTGATACCTGAATAGTAGTCCTTAGCAAAATGACCGTACTTCCCACATTTGAAGCACTCAATTCCAGAATTGCTTGATTGACCACCTCGGCCTCTACCGTCACGACCTCTACCTTGTCTTCGGCCACGCCAGTTTTGTTGACTGACTTGCTCCTTGCCTCTTTCATATTCTCCTCTGCCTCGGCCTTGAGTGTTCTGAGCATAAGGAACCTTCTTCTCCTTTAAGGTTGTCTTTGCTTGGAGTGCTTGATCAAGGGACTCCTCTTTCTTCTTCCTTCTCCGTTGCTCATGCACTTCAAGCGACCCGGCAAGCTCTTCCACCGAGAGCACCGACAAGTCCTTGGACTCTTCTATTGCACAAACGATATTCTCAAAGTCGTCAGTTAACGACCTTAAGATTTTCTCCACCACTCGGCAAGTGGGCAGCGTCTCTCCATTTCTTCCGAGTTGATTCACCACAGTCTCAACACTGGAGATGTACTCGACAACCCCTTCGACCTTTTTCATCCTCATGCTTTCAAGCTCGCCTCTAAGAGTTTGAAGTCTGACTTGCTTCACGCGATTATCCCCTTTATTTGCCTTCTCCAGAATATCCCACACTTCTTTTGAAGATTTAGCATTTGCTATCTTCTCAAAGCCGGACTCATCAACAGCTCGGTACAGTACGTACAAAGTCATTTTGTCCTTTACTCGTGTTGCTCTCAATGCAGCAAGCTGAGCAATCGTCTGCTCTTCAATATTCTTTGGTTCTTGGTGCCCATTTTCGACCATATCCCATATTTCTTGGGAACCAAGGAGAGCCTTCATTTGCAGGCTCCAGTTATCATAGTTTACGCCTTTTGATAACTTTGGCAGGGGCATGTTGTTAGCTAAGTTGGTCATCTCGAACAAACTCTCTAACTCTCAAACACTTTTTCTAACGTACTCAGACACTCAGGCTCTCAAGTTCTGATACCAATTTGTTGACAAACAAGTATCTAAATAAAGTACTCTGTATATTATCACTTGATATGTTTTGCAATAAGTGATACATGTTCAATTTATAGACCTTTGGATATGGCCTCTCAACTACATGTATTTAATGCAACTACTACCTTTCAACTACATATATTCAATACAACCACTATCTCTTAGCTACATACATTCAATATAACTACTACCTCTCAACTACTACCTCTATAACAACTACCTTTCAACCACATGCATTTAAGGTTTACCTAACAAATCTAACATATATTTACACCAAATAACAAGACATGACACAAAGGATCTCAAACTTCCATACATATTTTTTCTGGGTATTAACCTAAAGTTGCGTATTATTGAATTCGTCTGAAAAGGTTTTGGTGTAGGATAGAAATCAAACACAAATTTTTCAGTTTATGGATCATCTTCAAAATGCTGTCTGACAGTAACTTTTTCATCTGATGTACCATTCCAGTATTATCTGAGTGAGCGGTCCACAGCTTCAAGTGATTGATAGGTGATGTTCTGGGATTGGACCACTTGTCTATGGAAGAAGCAGTTAAGTATTGCCCTCACACCCAAGCCAAGGAACACTGGTGTGGCTCTCAAATGAAGTAATAAAGAGGACTCAACTCAAATCACATAACAACTCTAAGACACTGGTGACTATGAGTGTGTCACAATCCTAGTTTGGCTTTGGTTGGGGCCTCCTAAGCATTCTGTACCTTGCCTTTGTTTTCATGGTTCTGTTGTACTATATATCTAGGTAATCTCGTCACCTCATCTAAGGCATCTAGGATCATCTACTCTTGTTGTATCATCAAATTTACCAATTAAGTGAAACTCCACAAGGGAAGACACATCCCAAATAAAATATATGCTAACTTCATAATTAAATACCTATTTAATTAGTGTATTTTCGTGACAATTAACTAAGCTTACTAAAAAAAATTAAAAATATTTCTTCTAATTAATATGCTTTTTTTTATGTAACCTTTAAAATAAAATGAAAAGTGCATATATGTAAGTCATACGTTTTTTTCATAACTAGGTCATAAATCCTTGGAAGATGGTGTATGGACACTTTTATATTACTAGAAAACTGAAAAGAGAGGGAAAATGTATATATATATATATATATATATATATATATATATATATATATATGTAATAGATGATAGGTGAAATTAAATTACTGTTTAGATTTTTTTTTAAAATTTATTCGAAATGATCATTCTGTTATTAAAATGGACAATGGTGCTTTAAATTTATTTCTAAATTATATGTACAATGTCCATTTCGTATTAAATAGTGCAACATATTGTGTTATTTTTGCCATAAAAATTGTGTTACATTTTATTCAATGGCTCGTTCATTTGTCTTTCTAGTGCTATATACATACTTGTGTATCACTTATGGTCGTATTTAATAATAATTGATTTAATGGAAAAAGACTACCGTGTATAATTAGAGTGCCAAATTCATCATTTTAATAATAAATTATTTAGTCATTTATAGAATAAAAAATAGAGTCTCTCGTCATTTATACATTCCTTTTAATTCTCGATTGAGACTTATATTTTGATATACTTATAAGTTTTACATTGTTTAGGAGTCGACATTAAGAATAGTTTATATATATTTCCTCACTTAATCTACCGATACGTTTTTTAAAGATAAAACCGTAATAGACGAGAGTTTTAAAATGAACAATATCTTAAACATAAATATTGGCTCTAACCATATTATTAATTAATGGACATCAGATAGAAACACTCTCGTTCCTTCTATACAACGATCAATAAACAAATTAAATAAACAGAAATAAAAGTACAAACAAATAAGTGAAAAAGAAAGATTTCAATGTATATACATTATCATTATTCTCCTTAATTATAATATCAACCCTAAAGCATCTAGGAACTTTCTCAAACTAATTATACAATATACAAGCATAACAACATTAGCATTGACTAAAAACCAACTGCACAATATAAGGTTTTGAATCTATAAATGTCTCTTTCCCTGAAGTTAATAGCCTTGCCTTTCCTCGTGTTTGCTATCAAATTAATAGTTATTTGCAAACTCAGTGGTGAAAATTTGAACCAATTTTCTCGGAGGAAAAGATTTATATGTTGTGTTTATAATCAGAAAGTAATTAATGCGAATAGATTGGTAACTTGAAATTCCACCACTGATGTTTACAACTTTTAGATTATGCAAGGCTCTCACTTATCTGCGCCAAGGTTTATACTTGGTTTGGATCTGTTCATGAGAAGTTCTCCCAATATATTATATTTCTTTACCTGCTACATGCATTTCTTTTCAGGTAATAAACCAAAGCAAAATCGGTCTGATTATATGCTTTGAAATGTTTTGATTGGTGCAAATGGAGGTTATCTTTAGGAGTGAGGGTATTAAGACATAATTAGTGTATAAGATTTTATCAAAATAAGGTTTGGTTCTGCTGTTTTTCTTCTATTTTCAAAAAGCTGCACTACTCCACTTGATTGTATTGCAGTGCAGAAACCTGCTAAATCAACTGCAGTATTTGGATGAAAGTACCTTTTTTTGTACGTTCTTCTAATTTAATAGCATGGCCCTTCCAGAAATAGTTAACTTAAAATCAGCTGAAGTATATAAATCTCAGAAATATAGGCAATTTAGATAAACATTTTAACAATAGGTAAAGAAAATAAAATGTATCACAGCTGAAATAAAATTAATGAGATTAAATTTGTCAGAGAAAAAGTTAAAATCAAATTTGCAGTAAATATTTTGAGAAACATCCTTACCTTATCTAACTTTTCTACTGGCTGAGCTTTATAAATTAACTTAGGTAATGAAATTTTACTCAATTTACATCTTGAACGATATTAGTTTCTTACATTATAAACCTGTATTGTCTGATTTATTTAAACAGATTTTAATTACATGACAAATAAATTCCTTCAAATGGATTTGATTTTAGACACGTCTTTTTCTTTCCCTTCACAACAGGGAAATGAAAGTGTTAAAGGAGGTATTGCTACGTATTTCATTTACAGAAATCATAATGTTTTATTTTTTTTACAGAAAAAATACTAAAACGTATATTAAGGTTAAAACCAGGAAAATTAGAATGATAAGTAACCAAAAACTAACAATAGTAACTAAAAATATTATTTTTAAAATAAGTATATTCAAGAAGTTGTACGTAGAACCAAACTATCCCTGAATGCAATGAGTTTCAAATATATTGAAAGAAATATGAGAATTCTTGGGGAAGAGTTTCACTTGAAAAGACCCATCAGTGAGCATGAATATATAAAATCGTAATACTCAATCTGAAGTAGATTTTTCATCTTCCATAAACCATAGTTTTGTCATCTCTTTCTCCATTGAAAGACTAACAGTTACAAATCTATCGTTTTTTATGCGTAAGCTGGTAAAAATATGCTCTACTTTGATGGTATAAACTAGAGAACTGATATGACGTTTGAGATCTACAATTAATAACAAACCGAGTCTACTAGAAAATACCCTAAGATAATAATGAATTCATGTGTTTAAGAACTACTCACCTTATAGGAGGAGAATCAACCTTGGGAGATATGACCATCATCAAACCATTATTATAATTGTCAGGATATCTCATCAGTGTCAACCCTAAGGATCGACTTCAAGTGTTGCAAAGCTAATTAAACTCCCATAATCAAAATCTTTTAAAATAAATTGAAAAGTTGTATCCATGTGGCTCTTTAAAATCATGGTTAATTAACACACTAAAAATAAGGAAGATTCAACCGATATAAAAGATACACTTTATTTATATTTGCACCATGCTCTACAAGGGAGAAATTAAAATCAAAATGACAACACATCCCCTCTCCTACCCAGTGATTTTGCATCTTTACTACATAAAACAGACAAACCCTAAATTTAAATTAAAATACAATAGAGAGAGAGATTTAAATTAAGACCATTACAAATACCCTCTCCTGCCTGGTTTATTTTCACCTTTACTAAAACAGACAAACCCTAACTTTAAATCAGCATATACAACGAAGAGAGATTTAAATTAGAATCATTACAGTACAATCCCCCTCCTACATAAACTATTTTCACCTTTACTAAAACGGCCAAACCCTAAATTCATATCTCACATCCCAGACTCCTTAGAAGAGTTAGCTAGTCTCAGTTCTAGATCGATATCATCGTCAACCCCTACTACTGATACTTGTACGTTATGGTGGCGCGTACCTGGTGGCTCCGCCACAGGGGCTGTCCAGAACCGAGTTGCACCACCGAAAGCAGAGGTTGGTGATGCTCCTTGTGCAACAACAAGAGGTGTAACCGCTTGGAATATTTGGTTTCTTTGGTGTACACGCATATACTCAAATTGTGCCAACCTAGCCATTTGTCTTTCTCTTCTATGTGCATTCTGGTGACCCCCCATTGCTTGCAAATTCTGAAATTTGCGATGGCAGAATGGACACTGTACTTTCTTAACGCTGTTGTCATCATCATCGTTGCTAGCCTTCAAACGAAAACCAAATAATTTCAACCCTGAAGAAGAAGGAGCGGAAGAAGATTTGTTCTCTGAGGATGAATTCATATTCGGATATGAAATGAGGAATATGTGTTAAATTGATTCTCTTTACTGCATACATGATGGCATATAAAAAGAGAGGAAAAAGTGATGATTGCTACTCCGTAAAGCATTAGTGTGGAACCACAAAAAGCATGGAAAATGCAGGACTGTGGAAGTTGCAAGTTGCAACAATATCTTGACGTCTGGTGAATCGAAGTGGTTTCATTCTTGTCCATTGTTCGAATGTCGGACAGATCGACCTAATCTCCAGGTCACGCAACAAGACTTTATAGCTGTCTTTTTTGCTATCATTATGGTTTGTTGCTATATGCGAATATACATGCTCGTAGGTACTAGATATTATCGTAGACAAATAAATGGTCGTTTTCAATGCTTCAAAGGACAAGTGGAGAGTTTGATCAATCGATTTCATTATTTATAGAGTAATACTTCAAGGTTTATATATGGTAATTTTTCCAGAAATATTCAGGATACTTCTGGGGCACAAAATCAAGGACTTTAAATGTGTTTGAATTTCAGTTTCATCTAACTGAATCTATTTATACTCAATACAAAGCACACATTAAATTTTTCATTCAACGTTAATCCAAGATATATTCAAACATATTCTTAATCCTTCAGAGTAATAAAATATAAATACTCATATCTTTAATATAAAGCATAAAAGAAATTTATTATTTTTTTTAAGAATATTTTATAGTTTTTGTGAAGCATTCAAGGTATTATGAATATATATGTGTTTTTTTTATTAATAAATAATGAAAATAAAATAAAATAATTAATAATAAGGGTGAATTCATTACATTGATAATATTATTTCAAAAATTCAATAAAATTGATTACTTTTATAGATTTTTGTGATTATGTTAGGAGCGACTTATATTAAAGATATTTAGAACAATGATTTTTTTTCTTATAAATCACATTGATCATAATCAATACACATCTCTCCTAATAGTATTTTTTTTTCATGCACTTACACTTAAGAAATCAAATTTCAATAATATATTTGAGAAATAAGGTTGACACGTTTTTCTTAAAATATGTTATATATTATTTGTTATCATATATAGTACATTGTTATATGATGTTCTTGAATTATGTAACAATATCGTGTCTATAAAGGTATTTATTTTGATTTTAATGATCTTTTATACTCCTTAGATTGAGAACTTGATTTAAGGCTAAGATGAACAGGTATTACTGAATCTTCATTTTTGGATTGATGTTTTGTAATTTTGCTAATAAAAAAAGGTAATTATTTTATACCCCAACAATGTAAATGTATAGTACTTACTCCGTTTACACATCTTACTTCTTTTTATTTTTCTTTTACTCACCAAATCACATAGGCACCAATTATTATAATTTTCTTTATTTGTTTTCTCATAAGTAAATTAGCATATTAGGCTGTAATGAAACATTTTTGTATTATTTAAACATAAAAAAGTTTATGTAATATATTATAGTACATATAAATCACCTCTCACTTATCTTCCTATAAAAACATCTTAGAAATATTGTAAAATTTAATTTCTTTTATTTCATCTCAAACGATTTTACGTGACTATCGTGTGGAGAGCCTAAATGGTCTTTCTATTTTATAATAAATTTTTTATATTTTGTGTGTTTTTTAGACTATTTTTGTTCTATTTTATAAAACATAAAAAAATTTATTTTAGACGAATTTTTAGAAAAATCGAAGAGAAATTAAAAAAACAAATATATATATATATATATATATATATATATATATATATATATATATATATAAAATGTATGCACACCATTGTTTTTGGTCAAAAGATTTTTGGAACCTGTCTTCCGATTAGTATAGAGCGAATCATATTCATGATGATTCTATTGTTTTTCTCAACAATTTCGTTTTGCTGTGGAGTATAGGCAAAAATCTTCTTATTCTTTGGTTTTTGCAACAATCTTCAAATTCTTTTGAAGAAAATTCTCCTCCTTTATATGTTCTTAAGCAGATAATACTTTCTCTAACTTCCTTTTCAATTAATGTCTTGAAGCTTTTGAACAAAGAAAATGTTTCGGACTTCTCATTTAAGAAATATATCCAAGTTTTTCTTAATAGATCATCAATAAAACTTAGAAAATATTTCTTATTGCTAGTTGATGTTGATTTGATTGGCATGCATAAATCTGCATGAACTAGCTGCAATTTGTTGGATGCTCTCTATAAGTCAATATAGTGTTCCTGTGTTATTTTCCTACCAGACATTGTGTGTAAACATTTTAGAGGTTGTAATCCGAGGCAAACCTGTCACCATTTGTTTAGAGGCAAGGGTGTTCAAGCCATCATAGCTTAGGTGTTCGAGCCTGTTGTGCCAGAGTTGAGAGTTGTTTTCTATATTCATCTGGAGATATGTATTTGTTCCCATGGCTGCTGTCAGCACAAACATCCTACTAGCATTCATTTGAACTTCATATATTACTCCTTTATCAGGATGCGTAATAGTGCAAGTATTGTTCTTAATTTTAATACTTAGCCCTTTTTCCTAAAGTTGTCCTATACTCAATAGGTTATTTTTCAGTTCAAGAACATAGTACACATGTGTGACAATATGCGTTAATCCATTCACCTTCATCTGAATACTTCCTTTCCTTATTACAATTATATGAGTATCATTTCCAACTTTACTTTGCTTCTAAAATTCTTATCTAATTTTGAAAACCACCCCTTGGTGTCACTCATGTGGTTGTTACATCCTGAGTCTAAGAACCACTTATTCTTCTTTCCTTCTTTGCTTTCTGCGAGAGCCATTAGTAAAATCTTTCTCATGTTCTTTCTCCATTTCTGCATAATTGGTTTTCTTCATCTCCCACATAGGACATTCATATTAAAAATGTCAAAGTTTATGGCATTTGAAACATTCAATTTCATTCTTGTTAAATGTTTGTCTTCCCCTTCCTCTACCTCGGAAGGCTCCTCTTCCTCTTCCTCTTCCATTCTTTTCATCAAACATAGTTTGCATAACCTGTTCTTCTTCAACTGAGTATGTTATTCCCTGCTCATGAACTAATAGATTTCTTTGTAATTCATTTATAATCATGGTGTTCATGTTATTGGATTCTTCAATTGAGCATACTACATAGTTGAATTTTGTTGTCATAGACCGCATTGCATATTCTTTCCTACTACTTTCATACTTTTGACTATCTTTAAAGTACGGTCAAAATAAGAATTTACCGTTTCGTCTTCCTTCATTTGCAATGTCTTGAATTCCTTGCGTAGAGCTTGCAATAGCACACATTTCACCCTTGTGGATCCTTGAAATTTTTGCTTCATGGAATTCCATATATTTTTGGATGTTTCATAATTTAGGATTGTATCCAAAATTTCTCTATCAATTACTTGATAGAGATAATTTTTCACCTTCAAATCTTTAAGTTGTTATTCGTCCAACTGTTTGAGTTCGGCTTCTGATGTTCTTGCCTTGTCTAGGACAACATTAATACCGTGTTCCACCAAACTCTAATACTCCTTAGAACGCAGGAAATTCTTCATTAATTTTGCCCAATCACTACAAGAAAAAACACATTTAGCCACCAAAATTAACGACCGAATTTTTTCGGTCGCAATTAGCGACCGATTTAGCGACCAATTTAATTCGGTCGCAATTAGCGACCGAGTTAATTCAGTCGCAATTTAGCGACCGATTTAGCCACCAAAATATGATTTGGTTTCACTTTTTTATTTAGCGACCGAAATAGTGACCAATAGTTTGCATCGCAAAATTTTGGTCGCTAAATCGGTGGCTATTCCATACTAAAATAAAAAAATCATTTAGCAACTGATTTAGCGATCGAATCACAAATTGAAATAGTGACCGAATTAAAATCGGTCGCTAATGAGAAATATATATTAAAAAATTATAAAAAAATATATATTAAAAATATAAAGTTAAATAATGAATTGGTTTTTCAAATATATATTAAATAATTATAAATAAAAAAATATAGCAACTTAAAATTTAAAAAAATAATTATTTTTAAATTATATATATTATATAAATTATAAATATAAAGTTAATTTAAAAATAATTTTTTTTAATTTTAATTTGATATATTTTTTTATTTATAATTATTTAATATATATTTGAAAAACTAATTGATTATTTAAAAATTAATCAATTATTTAAAAAAATAACCTAGGTTCTCAAGTATGAAAAACTAATCGATTACTTTTTGAAATAATCGATCAGTTTTTTAACTATAATAGCGGTTAACGTGGAACGACTCTTATATGTGAACATATAAGAGTGGTTAAATTGAAATCGCTATCATAGAGTCACTTTTAAGAGCGGTTAAACTGAAACCGCTATCATATATATATTTTGCATAAATTAGAATAATAATTATCAACTTGAAAATAATTTATATTTAATATATATATATATATATATATATATATATCTAAAATATAATTTATTTTAATTTCTATAATATATATATATATATATATATATAAATGAAAAAAAGTTATATTTTGGAATATATATTTTATATTATAGTAATTAATATAAATTATATTTTAGAATATATATATAATTTTACATCAAAATATTATTTCTTCTTATATACATATATAATTTTTAAGATTTTTATTATCCTCCTAATTTATTATTAATTTCTAAAAAAATTATAATATCAAATAAATCAAAAAATTAAAAAAAGTTTAATCACACAAATAAATTTAAATATAATATTTAATAATATATTTTAAATATTATTTTACTACTTTCAACAATAAATCTAAATATATTATTAATTTTAGAAATATACAAATCTTTTTAAATACCTAATTTAAAACTATAAATGTTAAATAAAATATTAATTTAGAGTTCATATATGTAATTTTAATTTATGTAATATATATATATATATATATATAATTTATTTAACATTAAAAATAGTTATATCTTTATTAATTTTATAATCATAATTTTTTTAAGGTTATAATTTTAAATATAATTTTTTTA